TCTTTAAAGCCAGCAACGCAGCTTCTTTAAATTTCTGACTCCGATTTTCTCCAGCTTCCGTTTTTCACTTATAAGGGTGCTGTAATTTTATTGAGCCCACCTGGATAGCCCAAGACACTCACCATCTTCAAGATCCGCAACTTAATCACACCTGAATGTTGCCTTTGCTGTGTCAGGTAGCATATTTCACAGGTTCCAGGGATTAGGACATGGACATCTTTGGGGAGCCTACCACAGTGTTCGATGTTGGTTATTAAATGAACGAGTAAACGAATGGATGGTCACACTAATTCCATTTCCTATTTAATGCCACCAGCCTATCCCCAACCCCAGGAAGCCATGTTTGCTTGGGCTCATTGCTCCCCTGGAACTCCTGCCCTTTCCCTGTCTTTCCTCAGTCGTGACATGGTCCTCCTTCCAATTCAGAAGCCATTTCCCCACATGGAACCATTCTTAGAGTCCTCACTTACATCCCTTTTGCCTGAACTCCTGGGTCCCCACTACACATTTCACTTTGCCACTTTTCCCAACTAGATCGTTCCATTCCCTGGAGCTTCGCACTGAGCTGGGTGCTCTGTAGAGGCTTAAAAAGTATTGGCTAAATTGCTCTCAAGGTTCGGCCAGGAGAGACCTCCCCATATGGGAGGCTGAGACACCAGGCGCTGGAATGTATCTTTCTTTCCTACAATGACTGTTAACACAGCAGCTCAGTGTTAACCCAAGTAAATGTGGGAGGGTTAAGTGCAAAGTCATTTGAGCAAAATGTGCATTGCTTCATGCCAAGCAGAAATCAAATGGTATGATGCTACACTATTGGGAAAAGTACATTCCATTTGGCATTGGCCCAGGATACTAAACAACAAATGGCATTAACCCCTGAGTGACTGGCTCCTTAGCAACATGTCGTCCTTCTCCCCATGAAGACCTCCCTGCCCATACCTCCTTTCCCCAAACAACACTCACACACAATTTGTCTAGACTTTCCCTTGAAGAATGTTAAATAATCCTCAAGCCTGAGATTATAGCTTTGCAATTAGCTATCTTATAATCACAGGGTTGCTCAAGTTGTTCTTGATGAGAAGAAGAAGATGATGATACTGACGATCATCATGATGATGCCCTGATTGCTTCTGGCCTTAAAACAAAATTTAAAAAACTAACATGCATTATGATTTACTCATTATCAGTAGTCTTTGAAAAATGTAGACCATTGGTTATTTCACACCCTTTGCAATAATTTGCATACACTTTGAAAAAAAATTATTGGTAAAACATTGCACTTGGGATCAAGAGACAGGCTATTTTGGCCTCAATTCAGTCAATGACTTGTTTTTGACCTTGGGAATGTCCTTGTGCTTCTCGTGGCCTCACTTGGCAATTTTACCTATAAAATCAGCAAGATCGAATTAGATGATGTATCAGTTAGGGATGCAGCAGGAATCTGACTACCACGACTAAACTGAAGATTTAATTTTCTTGTTTAACAAGCAGCCAAAAGATGGCCAGTCCAGGCTGGGCTCAGTGGTTCACGCCTGAAATCTCAGCACTTTGGGAGGCCAAGGCAGGCAGATTATGAGGTCAGGAGACAGAGACCATCCTGGCTAACACGGTGTAAGCCTATCTCTACTAAAAATACAAAAAAAAATTAGCTGGGCATGGTGGCATGTCCCTGTAATCCCAGGTACTCTGGAGGCTGAAGCAGGAGAATCATTTGAACCTGGGAGGCGGAGGTGGCAGTGAGCCAAGATCGCACCACTGCACTCCAGCCTGGGTGACAAAGCAGACTGCATCCAAAAAAAAAAAAGATGACCAGTCCAGAGCTGCTTGTTCATCCTCGGAATGTGAGTTTTGTCCGCATGGCTTTCAAATGGCTACTGTCCTTCTAGCCATATTGTCCTTTTCCAGAAAGAAGAGTGGAGAGGGCTATGGGCAAAAACGTGTTTTGTTCATTGAATCTGTCCTCTCCCTGCCTCCTTTTTTTTGTCTTGTTTTGCTTTTAATCGGAAAAACATACTTTCTTGTACCCCCAACAGATATGTTTCTGCTGATTCTCGTGGTACAAACTTGGGACACTTGGCTGTTACCTGCTACAAGGCATTGTTAATTGAGCAAATTGCAACCCTAAAAACCTGAATCCTGGATTCAGGTAGCCAGGAAGAAGAGAAGCCTGGTTCTTAGCTCCTCTTGCCCTTCTAATAAATACCTTCTCTGATTAAGGCAGCCACAGTCAATGCCTCTTTTTTGCAATCAAACCTCAACCCCTGATAGATATATCTTTTAACTGCATTAATTCATCCTACAGATTTTTGCTAACAGCAGGGAGTTTGTGATGCTTCAGAGAAAGCACTCTGGCCAAGGTGCTTGTCCAGTTTCTGCCTCTAACCCACTATATGATCTGTACAAACACCTTCTCTCTGGACCTCAGTTTCCTCATTGGTAAAATAGTGGATTGGATCAATCAGTTGCTTCCAGCTATTCTCTGCAGTGCCCAGGACTCCCCCCTAGAAAGCCCTCTACAAGGGAAGTTCAAGAGCAACCTGTTATAATGGGCTCTCGGTCTCCCATGTCACTTCAATTACAATAGCCCTGCTTTCATCCAATTTACTTATTAAGCATGATAATTTTTTTATTGGTCCTCAGTTAAAAATAAATGTTTGAAAAATGCTGGACAATATGATCTCTGAAGAGCCCTTCCAGCTCCAATGTTCTGTGATTCTAAGCAGGTGGAATATTTGGTAACAACTTTTCATTCATCAGCATACTTGGGAGCGCAGGAATGCCTGCCAAAACATAATCTATATCTAAATAAAATCTTCTGTGTGCAAAACAATGGCAATGAAGGACATTCAGAAAAGAGCAGGCCATGTGGAAGGACCTGAAACAAACAAAGCCCAGATCCCTGTTTTGCGATTCTGGCAACGCCTGGGGTGTAGAGCTGGGAAAGGAAGCCCACCACAGCATTATCCAGCCTCTGCTGTTGTAGAGCAAAGAATGTAAACTAGGAAGTGAACTGAATCTAGGTCCATCCTGTGTTGGGCACATCTGATGTTTTGAAAACTTTCAATTAGTTATCATTAGTATTCATAAATTGAAAAATACATTGAAAAACCCAGTCTCCTGGCTTCTTTTGAAAAACTGAAAAGTATGACAACATTGGGATTGCACTTCAGTAGCACAGGAATTAACTAGAGAGGAACAGCGACAGCCACCGTCTTGTTTTCTCTGCATGGGCATGCCATCTTCACTTTGCTGCAGGCCGTTACTCCTTCTCCTGTTCCTGACCCTGAGGCCAGGTACGGCTGCCGTCTGGGCCTATGCTTGCATGATGTTTCCCCATTCCCCTCCCATTGCAAAGCAATGGTAAATAAAACATCAATTATTTCCTATATCCCAGTCCTTACTCACAGTGGAGAAACAAAAGATAGACTGAGTAAGACATGCCTTTCTAGAAAAACAGGGCAGAGATGGTACCCAGGGGACATTTGGCAGTGTCTGGAGACTTTTTCGATTGTCACAACTAGGGAGGATGCTACTGGCATCTTAGAGAGTAGAGGCCAGGAAGAACAGAAAAATTAGGTTCCAACCCGATGCAGCAAGGACGACAATAATGAGAAAAACTCTGATGTGGGTGTGGTGGCCTCCATAGCTCCAGTTACCCCAGCTGGTGCTCTTATGACCCTCATAAACACTCTGTGAGGGTGCTTATTTCCCCAACTTAGGCCTGGTAATGCTAAGTCCCCTTGTTTTAGGCCTTGTAGCATGTAAATGTCAGAGCAAGGCCCAAAGCAAAGATGTGGCAGTCTGCTCTGGGCTTGGGTCCTTGGCTTTGCCTTAGGCTTTGGGAGCCAACCTGTAGCCACCTTGTTATCTAGCATGTACTGCTCTTAGCTTAAGTCTGATGCTACCAGCAACCACAGAACCCAGACTGATCGTCTATCCACTGTGCTATGCTTCCCCCACAGTGGATAGAACTTGCTGGAAACGGCATGCAACTGCTGCCTAAAAAACTCATGGGAACTGGCAGACAATAAGAGGTCTAGGGAAGCAAGAAGCTTCCCTCTGGAGAGGGAACAAAAATTAAATCCAAGAGATGGGCACAGTTAGTATTTATAGGAAATTCAGCAGCCACACCCAGGGCAGAACAATTTGGCATCAGAGCATCAAGGAGGGAGCAGAAAAATAAAAAATTCATTACTGTCTATCCATCCATTCATCCATCCATCTTTGCAGCAAATATTTATGAATGAGGATTCAGGCTAGGAGCAAGGTTTATGGCCTCTGTCCTTGTGGAATCAAAATCACACTCGGAGGCTTCCAGCTGTTTGATTTCAAGCAAGTTACTTCCCTTTCTGAGTTTCCTGATCAATAGAAGGATGAGGGAACAATTCAATCTTGCAGGAAGAGAAGATTAAATAAAATCTTCTTAGCACAGGCCTGACTCAGACTCTCAATAAATGTCTCCTTGGTTCCATCCTTCCCTCCGCAGGTATCACTCAGGTAATCATACAGGATTCCGGCAGCTCCCCGAGGCAAAGACAACTTCTGGGGTCACTTTTCCGCTCAAAAGACCCTCTCAGCTTTCAGAGAACCAACTCTCCCCAGGAGGTTGGAGGCTGTTTTGTGGACCATGCTATGCAGGATACAGAATGACCCTCCAATCAGCAGCACACATTCGTGTGATGTGTGAGCATGTTAGTTCCTATAACAGTCCTGATGCCTCTTATAAATTCGCATTTGAATCTGTAACCCATTGGGGGCATCAAGCAGAAGCTTGATATTCCCAACTGCTTGCAGGTTGGGTGGTAGGTATGGGTATGGGGACCCACCACCCCTTCATTCAGTGTATAATCAGGCACTTATTAAGAACTGGGGTACACACAGTAATGAACTGTTATTTCATGCTCCCACTGCTAAAACCCCTATGGCCCTCTAACAAATGGTCTTTGAGAAGGAGTTTGCTGCGTGCAGATGTGGGTATCCAAATGTGTGTGCCTACTCACCAAGCTTGTACCACATATCACGGATGGAGAAGCCAATGAGACGTCTCATGTCCCCGTACCTAGGAGGAACAAAGGCCTCTGCTTCAGCCACCATCTCAGAGGATCCCATGGACCTCCCCCTCTTCAGGAAATCCAAAAATGCAACCTACTTATTCAGGATTTTGTTGTACTTGGCGTGCGAGAACTGCTCCAGCTGCAGAGAATCCTGGGTGATAAAAGCCACTGCCAGATGAAAATAGTTGTTCCACAGCTGTAAATGAAAGAGTAGAGAACAGTTATGGAGAGGATCTGAAACGGGAAGGCATAAGTGCTGGGTGGCGTGAATAATTTATGAAGATGGCAGAAGATAGAGGCAGAACCAGTTTAATTGTGCCCACTGCAATTTTCTAACTGGCACTGACTCTGAAATTAACATCCTGGCCAAAGTGAAGACGATGGATGGATTTCTCTAGGCGCTAACCTAACCACCATGTCCACTCTCAGACAACAGAATTTGGAAGGATAATTTTACTTTTATTTTTGTCCTTTTTGTGCTTTGTTTTGTTTTTTGAAAGACATGTAACTTGCCCCAGCTGGTGAGCTGTTTCCTGCCCCGGAATTAGAGGATGATAAAGGGTAAGATAATTCAGGGATTCACAGCCTCTCTGGAAGTCCTACCTAATTCACCTGACAGCTTGGAGAACCAACCTGCAATCCATTCTGTCTTAAAATATTTCCTGTTTTCTTTCCCCTTAGTTTGATGGTCTCAAAGTGTGGTTCCCAGATCATCAGAAGCAGCACCTGGGAACTTGTTAGAGCTACAAATTCTCTGGCCCCCGCCCAGACTTACTGAATCAGAACCTCTGGGGGTGGGACCTAGAAAGCTGCAGGTTAAAAAGCACTCAGGTGATTCTGATGCGCATTTCAGTTAGAACCCCTGTTGGCCCAGCTGAGATGCAGGCTTCTCAGAATTTTTGCCTGTATCTGATCTGTTGGTGCTATATGTGAGGCTAGTAGGTCTCAATGGCAGGAGAGACCTTCTAGAACTCATTCCACCAGCTTGCAGCAAAATGGAGCACGTAAAGGAGTCAGCACATGGTGACTGCTCAAAAGATTAGCCACACTGATGACAATCTAGATACAGGCTACAGACCCAGAGAGATTGTAGATTCAAACCATGGGTCTACAATCCATGCATTCCTTGCAACGCCTTGGTGAACCTTCTGCAAAACTAAGGTAATCTGGTACCCACTGCAGAAAGCTGTAATAAAGATGACACAAAATGATGTGTTTAAAGGCATGAATCACAGTAACAGCTCAGAAATGCTGCTAGCCTTTGCTGTTGTGCTTTTATTTCAGTGGTTCCTTCGGTGCCAAAGCCAGTGATACAGCCTAGGGTCTTGGTGCTCAAGGGAAATTGTTGCACGATGCCAAGGTCCCGCAAAGAGTAGGTGGGAGACAGCCTTGCGGCACAAAGCCCACCCACTTTAAGGCCCTCTCAACAGTGTATATAGCAAGAGGATGGGTAACATTAGCCAGATAAATCATCCAGCCTGGAGACCTTCATCCTTAACTCGCAGATGTTCATTGGTGTTTGCAGATGGCCAAGGCTATAAAAAAGGCAACTCTTCCACTGATAAAATAACATTATCATTGCTGCCCAGAGTATGACTCAAATGGATTTGTGGTTCCAGTCTTCGAAAGAAGCAAAACAAGCACTCTAATTTTACCATGGGCCAGGCACTTTCTATGCACCCTCTTTTCATCTCTTAACACTTGACAGCTCTTCTTATTCCTCTCTTATGGATGAGGAGACTGAAGCTTAGAGAGGTTAAGTATTTTTGCCGAAGTCTCTTAGCTTGTTATACACACGTCAGAGCTAAGATCTGCATCCAGACCTTCCGACTGACATTTGAGGCTCTTTTAACACACCACGGTTAGTCTTCAGCTGGGGATGTATTTAACAAATATTTCTGGAACATCTGCTTAGTGCCCAGGCATTGCCACAATGTGGTGAGAGAGCAGCGGTTACACAGACAGTGATGCCTGGTCTCATGCAGCTTACATTTTGTTGAGTGAATGCTTTTTTCTTTACTTGGATCTTTATCACCCAGGTCCCAAAAAACCAAACTGCTCCTGGGGTGCAGTGAAGTGGTCTCTTGGCTCATGGTCCCCTTAAAGTCAGCTCTCCATGCAAAGACCAGAAGAACGTTTTAAACACATCAGATCATTCGAGGCCAGCCTGACCAACATGGTGAAACCCTGTCTCGACTAAAAATACAAAAACCAGCCGGGCATAGTGGCATGCATCTGTAACCCCTGCTAGTCAGGAGGCTGAGCAGGAAAATCGCTTGAACCCAGGAGGCGGAGGTTGCAGTGAACCAAGATGGCACCACTGCACTCCAGCCTGGTTGACAGAGGGAGATTCCGTCTCAAAAAACAAATAAACAAACAAACAAAAATATCAGATCATGCCACTGCCTTCCTCAAAGTCCTCCAAAGGTTCCTGTAACACTTGGAATCAAATCCCCTTGTTTCCGTAGCAACCCTGCTTATCTAAGGTTGCTATATCTAAGCTTGGGTCTCCTGTCCACATCCCCTCAGACTGCCTTTCCTCCCGGCACCCAAGTGACTTAGCAGCTTCTCCAGGGCCTTGCTTTGAAAATGTGCAGCTTTGGTCTGCTTATGTCCAGAGCTCATACCTTCTCACATTTCAGATGAGACTTTGAAACAAGCTGGGGAAACAGAAAACCATGGCCACAGGACATGGAAATGAGTGTTTCCATGAACGTCAGAAATCTCTTATTTTAGGGGACAGGAAAAGAGCAATCAAGGTACAATAGGAAATAGATATCCAACAAAACAAGTCAATTTACAATTACTTGTGAGAATGATTTCAGAAATGCTCCCTAACACATAAGACATGTCAAATATGGTTGAGCCTCTTGCCAGTCTTTAGTCCACCCGGAATGATTTCTTCAAAAAAGTGTTTTCACTGTCATCACTTTCCTGATTTAAAAAAAAAAAAACTGAGACATAATTTATATACCTTAAATTTCACTTTTTGAAGTGTATGATTTAGTTTTTAGTATATTCACAAGGTGGTTCAACCATTTTCATCATTCCAAAAGAAACCCTCTAACCAACCAGGCGTGGTGGCTCACACCTGTAATCCCAGCACTTTGGGAAGCTGAGGCAGGTGGATCACTTGAGGTCTGTAGTTCGAGACCACTCTGATCAACATGAAGAAACCCATCTCTACTAAAAATACAAAAAATAGCCAAGGATGGTGGCACATGCCTGTAGTCCTAGCTACTCAAGAGGCCGAGGCAGGAGAATCGCTTGAACCTGGGAGGCAGAGGTTGCAGTGAGCCAAGATCACACCATTGCACTCCAGCCTGGGCAACAAGAGTGAAACTCCATCTCAAAAAAACAAACAAACAAACAAACAAAAAAACAAAGAAACCCTCTACCCATAACAGTCAGTCCCCCTTCTCCCCAACAACACACCAACACCTTCTCCTACCTGGTCCCTGGAAACTATGCAAGTGTGACGCATCCACCCCAGGTTTGGCATACACCAAGCACTCAGTAAATGCAATGGTGTTGATGGTAGCACTGGTTGTGAAGTATTTGCATGCCCTGTCTTCTCCAGTTGTAAGCTCCACAAGTACCAAAATCCTGTCTTCTATTTATTTGTGTCCCTAATGCCATGCTCAGCACAATGACTTGAATACAGTTGGGCTTCAGAAAATATTTGTCGATTGCTGTATTGTCACAGAAATTCTTCAAAAGGTCCCAGATTTTTCTTTCTGCCCTGCTACAAACTTCCTGGAAACTGTTAATACTAATGTACTGTCTTTCTCTGTGGATTTGCCTATTCGGACAGCTCATATAAGTGACATCATACAATAGGTGACCTTTCATGCATGACTTTTTATACTTAGCGTAATGCTTTCAAGGTTCATCCATGTTGTGGTGTGGATCAGTACTTCATTTTTTTGTTGAATAATATTCTATCATATGAATATAGACATTTTGTTTATCCATTCATCCACTGATGGTCATTTGGGTTTTTGCCAGTCTTTGAATATTATGAGTCACAGCATTGACGCTATGCTGCTACGAACATTTTTATACAAATTTCTGTGTGGACATATGTTTTCAATTCTCATGGGAGTGGACCTGGTTTTGTTTTGGTTTTGGCTTCTGTTCTGGAAGACCTTTATGAACCAGGAGGCCACAGCTGTGCCTCTTCTTAGTGAATTACAAATGGTATCCAAGTACCTCACCCATGGCCCCTGCCCAGTTCTGCCCATGGGGCTCTATGGAATGACTTCTGGAACTCAGAGGAGGTTGTCACAGTGAGTGGCTCTGTGCAGTACCCTGAGAGTTGAGCAGTGGTCACAACTACATATCGCTGAATACTTAGAATGCCTCTGCCCCCAGCCTTTCTTCACTCTTGTGCCCAAAGAATGAGATCCAAATGCACTCACCTGGCTTTTAAAGTCTCATACAATTTCCATGGCCTCCAGTGTTGTCTCCTTCAACAAACTGCCCACCTAGTTGGGCTGGTCTGCTCTGACTCCACAGAGATCACAGGAGCATTTTGGTCTCCATGGCTTCGCTCACAGTGGTTCTCATACCTGCAGTGACTGTCTCCTATTCTTACATCCAAGCTGAGTTCAAGACCTGCTTCCTTCAGGAAGCCTGTCTAGATTGCAGGGCACCTTGGGTCTGCCTGATCACTTCCTGATTTGAGGAGCACTTATTGTGTGCAACTCCATCCACAAATCAGGGATGTCAGTCCACTATTCTGTACTTGGCCTTGTGCTCTATTCATTTCTCATGACAGCATTGCCTGATGGTCAAGAGCACATGTGTCAGTGCCTTGCAGACCAGGGTGTGAAAACCAGTTCTATTGCTTATTAGATGGGTTCCCTTTGGCTAGTTACTTGAACTTTCTGAGCCTCATTTTCCTCACTTGTAAAATACCCAAAATAATGGTACCTACCATAATGGACTGTTGGAATTACAGGATCATGTGATATGAGCATGAGGCATCTATTACAGGCTTGGCACTAAGTGCTCAGTAAATGGAATGGTGGTGTTGACAGTAGCATTAGTTGTGGAGTATTTGTATGCCCTGTCTTCTCCACTTGTAAGCTCCGCAAGTAACAAGACTGTGTCTTCCATTTATTTGTGTCTCTAATGCCATGCTCAGCACAATGACTTGAATACAGCTGGGCTCCAGGAAATATTTATTTATCG